GATCAAGTAAATGTTTCAGGGTTTTTTTGAGACTTTTTCACCTTCTCTGTGAGACCTTTCTGAGATTTTTGGTTTTTTGATCCTGAAGAATGAACCAAAGATGTTTTTCTGTTCGTAGCCTTACACCACCTCACAGAACCTGCAGCTTAGGGTGACTATAGAAGTGCTGCAGGTCACTGACGTTTGCCTCAGGATTTTGCCTCCCCCTTTCGCAGAAGTGTAAGGAAAAGCCACCCACAACACTTTGTGTTCAGAATTAAACCACTTTTCATTTTTCATATACTGTGGTCCTGTAACCTAGTTGGGGACTGCAGGCATTTAATGAACAAATACAATTCTCTTCCTTCAAAGGTATCCTGTAGATACTGAAGTAACACCACACGGATAAATATTTTTCATGCAGTGTGTGAGCTGGGATCTCATCTGCATTGGAGCCAGGTCAGGCTAAGAAGCCTCATATTCATCCTCCTCTGGATGCTTGGGCTGCTGTCTTTTTGGCTCTTTTTGCCCTTCTGCTGGGATAAGACTGCTGGAGAGTGGGCATTTGGTCTTCTCACCCACCCAAATTTTGTCCTGAGTAAGTCAAGTGCTTTAGGTCGAGGATGTTGTCATGCCATACCTCTCCATCTAGGTGGCAAGGTAATGCCAGCACAAATCATGCCAACATGAACAGTCATTTTTGGACTTTGAGCTTAATCAGAGCTGGACAAATAAACTCAGGCTTGCAAGATGGAGTTTTCTTGTTTTTTGGTGTGTTTTTTCTTTGCATTCTGTAATCTGCAGTGTCTGGCACACTGAGGGAAAATAAAATGGATTATTTTCAGGAAGTACATTTTCGTGATCTGGCTGTGAGCTACCTCCAGATAGAGTTTAGTCATGAGGCTCACTGCCAACCTATTAAAAACTAACCTTCAGAACATGTTTTGCTCAGTGAAAACAGTCTAACTCTCATAATGAGACTTGGAAAACCACTCTGTTGACTTGAGTCATGTCACAGAGATTAAACCTTAAAAAATGAAGTTTGAGTTTGGATCATATGTCAAAAATGTAGAAAATATTAATTTTGCTATTGAATTATCAAACAAAGGTGTCTTACTCTGTTGGAGATACTGAATTGGGAAATTATTTTTTTTCTTATCTTAACATTGTCAAATCACAGGTCATCACTGTTGACTGCAGCTAAAGGATGGTGAATAAAGTCCAAATGATATTTTGTGAACTAAAATTGTGGAAGGGAGTTATTGCTCACACAGATACCAAAGTTAGGAAATTAAGCCAGAGAAACCTGTGCTGTTGTAGCTCCAGTGCCAATGCAATTTTTCTCAGAAATTCTCTTTGAAGTGAGAGTATTACCAATAGCTAGACTTAATGAGAAGGCTAGGTAGAAATAAAACCAGAAAAATTTCCATCTGCATCCATCCAAGAGATCTTTTTCTTCCTAAAGTGTACCCTTCCTCCTCTTCTCCTCAGTAAAAAGTTCAGTTTCAGCCTGGAAGCTGAAGGAATGAAGGTGTGGATAACGAGGATGGATTCTTTGGCCTTATTTACCAAATCTGCTGGTTCAATCAAGTATAATGCTGCTGCTGCTTGAGAGATCTTGAAGCGGTGTTCCCTCTCCCTGCCACAGCAGATACCTTAGGGAAGGAGGAAAGACTGTGGAGGTATGGGTGACTGTGTCCATCTTTCCAGTTAGCGATATTCCACCACCATGTAGGATTAGACGGAAGTTTTTGTTCTCTGAATTTGAACTTGTAACCAGTAGGTAGAAGACTGACTTCTCTCATCAGTGATCTGAGCACCGATTTAACAGTGTTTAGAATATATTTAATTCTATGGAAGCTCTCCTTAATTAATAAGACCTTTAGTACAGTGTAAGTACACTATTAATTGTTGGCTTAAGAGACCAGTAAGAAGTAGAGCCAAATAATACATCAAGGTTTACCTTGAGATAAAGGATTATTTGTGGAGGATTTTTTTGAAAAGCACATAGGGCCTTCTTAAAAAAAAAAAAAAAAAAAAAAAAAAAAAAGCTCGTAAATATTTCATAGGGAAATAATCCTTTGATTGCCATGTTTGGTCTTAATTCTGAATGCTTTTCAAAACTGCTTCCCTCCTTGTTTTGTCTGTCTAAACAAACTTTTACAAAAACTTCTGTGTTGCAGTGTATTTTAGAAATATTTTTCACATATGATTGAAATCCAGAATTGTTCATGTGTGTAAAATGTTTTACAGAGAAAAACAAATAATTCCTGTGGCAAAACATGGAACTCTGAGAAAAGGAAGTTGTAAGGGAATAAACATGCAGAGCGCCCTTTCTCCCTTAGCTGTAATTGTACAAATGGCACTGACACAGTACTGTCACTGGCTGCTTTTTACATGAAGCCAGTATAAAGATTAAAATACCAGCTGGCTTTCTGAAATCTGAAGTTATCAAACCTCAAGCTTGAAACAAACAGGCTGTTTGGGATGCATTTTAAATGTAATTTAACTTTACTCATCTCTAGTTAAAATTCTAAGCACAAATCAGCAGTCAGAGTTTTCCTTATTCATAAGAGAGAGAACTCTAGCAGAAATTTTTCAAAGCACCTTTTACAGGAGGTCTCCATTCACCTTGGGACTTTTCTTCTCTTTCTTCTCCAATCGAGTATGCAGATAGAGCCTGAAAAGTAAAGTTCATTGAAAAAATCACGGAAAGTTTGTGAGGTTTTTTCCAGGCTGAAATAGCTATTTTTTCAAAAACATTGTTGGAAAGTAGCCATAATTACTAAAAATATACTTTTTCCAAATTTATATTGATTTTTGCTAGGACGTTTTTGATGTATCATTCACTTAGTGTTGCCTCTAGGATGTTAGATCATTTGGGCAGTCATTACAGACAATATCTTTTTAGGTCATGCTTCATCTCTGAAATCCATTTTTCAAGAAAAATTTAGAAAGTAATTTCAATGAAAATTGACTAACTTATATTTGCAGGAAATTTTTCAGAAAGAAAAAGTGAAGCCTTTTCCAGCTGTATTAAACAGAGACAGTTTCAGCTTTATTCTTTTGTGAGAACTAAATTACATTTTCTTATTTTCCTTTCTTGTTATTTCAATTTTTCATTAGGACATAATGATTTTTAATGAAGATCTCATCAAAAGAATTCACCCAGGCTCTGAGTGATAGAAATAGTGCTTAATTATGTTCCAGGTAATGCTACCACCAGCGGAACCAGGAGCCCCTTCTCATTAGATTCTACTATAGTATAAAATTTAGACTATAAATAAGCACACGTAGGAATGCCTCTCCCTGCCTCTGTCCCCCTCTCGCCTCTGACATCAAACTAATAGAAAAGGATCTGCATGTCTTAGGTAAAAATATCTTTTCGATCTGGAGTTTTTATTTTCTGTTACGTTCGCTGCGTAAAGAAGAGTAAACAAAATTTTGGGTAATAGACCAGCAAAGCAACAGAGTGCTCAGGAGCCTGGTTTGTGCCTGACCAGTGAGCTATTTCAGATAATTAACATCTGGAGCTATATGATGTAGGCTTGGACTCTTTCCCTATGAGCAGCCCTTTGTAGCACTACTGCACATCTTCTGCATGAATCAGAGAAATTGCACTTGCATCAAACAAGATCTCTTCCTAAGGATAGGTGGAACGGTGCTGAAAGATCAAAGGAAGGCTACGATCATCATAGAGAGGGAACCTAGATGATAATGCGGGTGGTGGTATACTGCCTGGAGAAATCCTGGGGTATCAATTCACTGGTGTCACCAGATGTGTTCTTTCCACAAAGGGAACTGAGGTACCGGAGCTCTTAACAGCATTATAAATTCAGTAAACTGGCTTAGATATACAGATTAAATACCTTCCATTGCATCCCATCAAGGCATCTCACACAGGCATTTTGTACAGAAGAGGTCGCTTATTAGCTTTTGGCTGTGATTGGGGTTTGTTAATGATGTGTGAGAACCCGCTTGTTGTAAGTTCAGCTCCTGTTAGGTAGTCAGTTCCCTTCTGGGTGAATTCAGAGCACCCTTTATTACAAAGCAAACTTCAACTTCCTTCAGTCTGACAACCTTCCGAGCAGCAAAGCTGTCTTCTCAAGTTGTACAATCAGCAGCAGTGGGTTGAAAAGCTGTGAGCCTGGCTCCAATGGGGCTTGATAAAACTGACGGTCCCTAAGCCTGGTACTGCACTGCTGGAGCCCCATCACAACTAGCAATGCAGGTCATGCCTGCCTTTCTCAGCAGAGAGCTTCTCTACCACTCCACTGCCCCAGTCTTTCATCGCACGCCCGTGCAGATCTGCAGTACTCCTCGTGTGATAACAGAGATGGCCTTGAGGCAATTCTGCTTGTGGAGAAAAACAAGGAAAATAACGGTTTGCTAGACGTAAGGACTTCTGATTCTGTCAGTGTATGCAGCTTTAGCTAGGGAGGCCATGAGACTGAATATAGGATGTTGTTCTTTAATATTGTAACCTACATTATTGCTTTTGGGCTCGTTCTAAAAAGATATTTATCAAAGCTTATAGTTAAAGTGCTGTGCACTTTGTCTTGCCTAGATGAATTTTATTTAGCTGTATCTGTAGAATAAAATTCTCACAGCTCAAAGTCACTGAGATATTGATATTTGTGCATGAATTCATGGATGACTACTAGCAGGATTTGGCTTCACTAGTCTCTGCTGAGCAGAGGAGAGCATCAGAGAGGTTAGGATTGGAGGCCCAGATGGAGCTGAACCTGGCCAGGGATGTGAAAAAGAACAAGAAGGGGTTCTACAAGTATGTGGGCAGAAGGAGAAAGGCCAAAGAGAGCGTTCCCTGTCTGACAAATGAGGATGGAGAACCGGCTTCCTCAGACATGGAAGAAGCTGAGATGCTCAGTCAGTGCTGGCCAGGCTCCCCTTGTCTGCCAGGACCCTGAACCTTCAGGTGTGCTTCACATTTCCTAGAAGCATCGTTTCCCACATTGGAGAGGTTTCTCCAGTCACTTCTTGCCGATCGTATAATCCTTAAGAATCATGGAAAAGATCACTGAAATCATCTGTTCCAGCAATCTTATTTTTAATCATTGTATTGAGTACAACAACAGTAAGATAACCAAGTATCTCACCAACTCCTATCTATCTCCCACACAAACCCCGTGTCTTTGTTTCCATCATGTACAACAAGTACGTTCTGTGTAACCTCTGTGTAACCTTTGCATGAAACAAAGCCCATGTGCAGATGTGTTCCCTAAAGCAGGAAAGAAATTGCAAGTAAAAACAGACTTTTACTAGATCCTGTGTGCATTTAATGAAACGGAAGAATTTTGTAAAAACAGACTGGAAAGAGAGAATCCATTCAACCAGCATTCAGCTTTCTTATCTAAAGGAAAGATATTTTCATACATAACAGTGTCTTTTATTCACAGAAACAATTTCAATGGAAAACCTAATGCCTAATGAAGTAACTTTCTAATACAAACATTACAAAAACAAAACAACATAAAACTATTAACATTAACATCTAAAAGCCCTTAAATGGCATGCAGCAGTCCCCAGAAAGTTGGCAAAGGGGGGGTCCTGGTGTAGATGGTTGCAGTGAAATGAGGAGCCCTGCAAAGTCCGTCAGGGTTAAACACTTGAAGGTCCATAATATAAGAGGGCAATTGAGAAGCCTGAGGTCCCGCATTCTTGTCAGATGGAGTGGGCCTCAGGTGCCATGTTGTGGCAGGGGCTGTGCACGGCAGGCTGGATGGTTGGCAGCAAGGGGGGCTGCTGCAGCTGCTTGTGCAGGTTCTGCTGTTAGGATCTGATGGGCAAGGAGCCACAGTGCAGAGTGGGCTCCGCTTGCTTCATCATTTTTTTTGGCAGTGCGACCATATCTTGAGAATCTTCTATGTCAAATGGGTCGTCCATTGCAAAGAATGATCTTTTTCTTCCCTGCACATCCAGATGTTTTGTTTTACATTTACGTTTGCCTGATGGTTTCTGGCCCTCAGCCTGTTTTTGCAGCACAGGTTCAGGTTGGAACTTTTGTTTGCCTGTGTTTGGGCTGTCTGTCTTGCAGCTTTCTTGAGTTTTGTGCTGCTGGGCAGCCAAAGTTGGGGCTGGAGCGCTGCTTGGCTGAGCCTGCATCTTCCCATTCCCGTTTGTGTTGGTAGATGAAAGGCCTTTTGTGTGCAGAGGTGCCGGTAGAACTGGTAAGTCTCTGCGCATCTTCTTGGCCGCTGGTACGAATTCATCCTGCCGTTTGCCTGTGAAGTTCTCAGTTTGGTTGCCACTATTCTGCAGTCTCTCGCTGCAGTACTTACGCTTCTTGTCCAGAGGTGGACGTGGACGTTGTCTGATATGTCCTGTTGGCCAGTCTGCTTTTTTGTTTACAGAATGTCTCTTTAAATAGCATTTTTCTTTTGAGCTCTCTTTTCCCTCTGGACTTTCTAGGACGTGACCCAGGATGTTACGTCTGCTGTTGGCATTTGGTTTTGCCGTGGCATCTTCCCAAGCAGCAGTCCTCTGCTTCTCTTCACTGCTTCCTGCCAAGATTGCCCAGCCTATCTGGCCAAATCTGCAGAGCTCGGAGACTTTGGTAGCTGCTGGTAGCTCAGAGAAGGGCATCACTGCACGCGGCATCACCCACTGCTCCTAGAATCATAGAATCATAGAATTGCTCGGGTTGGAAAAGACCTTAGAGATCATCGAGTCCAACCGCAACCTAACCATACTACCCTAAGTCTAACAACCCTCCTCTCAATCATGTCCCTGAGCACCACATCCAAATGGCTTTTAAACACATGCAAGGATGGTGACTCAACCACCTACCTGCCTGGGGAGCCTATTCCAGTGCTTAACCACCCTATCTGTAAAAAAGTTAAAAAAGATATTCAACCAACCCCCCCCCCCCCCCCCCCCCCCCCCCCCCCCCCCCCCCCCCCCCCGGCACAACTTGAGGCCATTTCCCCTCTTCCTATCAGCAGTGAGAAGAGACCAGCCCCGCTCTCTCTGCAGTCACCTTTGAGGTATTTGAAGAGAGCAAGAAGGTCTCCCCTCAGCCTCCTCTTCCCCAGGCTAGACAGCCCCAGTTCCTTCAGTCACTCCTCGTAGGGCATATTCTCCAAGCCCTTCACAAGGCTTGTTGCCCTTCTTTGGACCTGCTCCAGCACCTTGGTGTCCTTTCTGCACTGAGATGCCCAAAACTGAACACAGCACTTGATGTGGGGCCTCACCAATGCCGAGTACAGAGGCAGGATTCCTTCCCTAGCCCTGCTCAGCACACCATTCCTGATCCAAGCCACGATGCCTTTGGCCTTCTTGGGCACCTGGGCACACTGCTGGCTCGTATTCAGCCAACTGTCCATCGGTACACCAAGGTGCCTTTCCGTCAGGCAGCTTTCCAGCCACTCCTCCCCCAGCCTGTAGGGCTGCCTGGGTTGGTTGTGACCAAAATGCAGGACCCAAAATTTGGCCCTATTGAACCTCATAGAGTTTACCCTGGCCCATCGAGCCGGTCTCTCCAGGTCCCTCCATAGTTGCTTTCTGCCACGCGGCAGATCAACACTCCCTCCCAACTTGAGGTCACGAATGAAGATGTGAAATGGAAGCGGCCGCAGCACCGAGCCCTGGGGGACAGCACTCGTGACTGGCCGTCACATTTGCCAGTCTCCCGTCCGCTGGGACATTCCCAGTTAGCCAGGAGAGTCGAAGGATGATGGCAACCACACCCACCAACTCCCTCAGCACTCTAGGGTGCAATCCATCTGGCCCCATGGACTTGGGAGTGTCCAGCTTTCGGAGCAGGTCCAAAACCACGTCCTCTTGGATTATGCGGGGCCTATTTGTTCCCCATCCCTATCTACCAGCCCCTGGCCGAGCTGACTCTGATCTGCGTGTAACTCAGTTGTCACATGCTTGAATGGGTCACATACATGGTCAGCAGAGTTCACTGTTTGTCTCACCGGTTCAGACTGCTTGGGTTTCTGCACTTTGTCATTGGCAGAGTCCTTAGTATTTACCTGCTTGGTGTTAAGGCAGAGCCGCATGATCCGCACGCACAGCTCGTTGATGTCATCGTGCAGGGTGCTGGAAGTTGGGGCTGTGCCACCAGCGTCGTGAGCGGTGTCTTTCATTGCAAAGGCTGGCACAGGCTGGGCTTCCACTGTCTGCACTTTGCTGGCCAGGTGAGTCTGCTGGCCTGAAGCCAAATATCATCAAATGTGGGTCCAAGCAGCAGCAGTACAGCTGGCCTTTGGTCCACCCTCTTCACCTGCAGATCCTTGCCAGAGCAAGCAGGGAAGAGGTGTGTGTTGGTTTTGGTGGGCTGGTTGCCGTGGCGGAGACCTCGGCGTGACATCAGAGGGCTGTTGCCAGGGGCAACGCCGCGCGTCGTCCCACCCGTCCATAACTGCCCTAACTGCCCCCGTCTTGTCTAGCCTGAGTAAGAGTTTTGTGTCAGGGTTTACAGTGTCAAAAGAAACTGTCCCAATAGGTTTTCCCTCCCTCCTTGCTGAGTCAGTGATGATCTCTCTGTCTGGTTTGGATGTGTTGATCTTTTGCTTTTGTAACTTACATACAGTTCAGTGCGATGTCCCATAGCCCACCTCTGCCTAACAGGAGGCTTCTGATTTCCTTGGTAAAATCCCTTCCCATTCAATGCTAGTAATTCTCTGGTCATCCAAAGTTTAACTGCAACGTGAAGTCCCAGCTTCCAGTCCATCCTTCATTACAACGTCTTTCTATCTTTCTACGCTTGTGTGTTGTGTTTTCCTTGATAGGAAGAGGAAAAGTGCTGCTGCATTTCAGAACTCACAAGTGATGGATAGGCCACAGGTAGCCTGTGGAAGAGAAATACTTCTGCTGCTGTGGTCTACCACGGCTGGTGTCCTGCATGTAGGTAGAGAGGGAAGGTTCCAAAGCTGCTTTTTTTTTTTTGGAGACACACTGCACTGCTTCTGTAGCGTTTGCATCATTTGTACCTGTTCAGATAGTGACAGAAGCATTTGGTTTCTGAGCTGCACTGATTAGAATGACTGCAACAAATGGAAATAGTGACAATTTTTGCACGCCCCCATTTCCATTTTTATTCTTTCCTTTTCTAAACCTGTGTTGACATTTTTCTGTGCTTTTGCACATGCACCGGGTATATATATATTGTTTTTGTCTGGAGATGCTTAATAGTGAGTGAGTATTGCTGTAGTGAGGCCCTATCTGAAGTTCTGCATCCATGTTTGGGAACCCCAGCACAGGAAAGCCGCAGAGCTCTTAGAAATGGTCCAGAGGAGGGCCACTAAGATGATTGGAGCACCTCTCCTATGAAGAAAGGTTGTGAGAACTTGGCTTGTTTAGCTTGGGGAAGAGAAGGCTCTGGGGGACTTGTAGGAAGTGTATAAGCAGGAGGGGGAACAACTGTTTAGATGGGTTGATAGTGATAGGACAAGAGGGAATGGTTTTAAACTAAGACAGGAAGAGATTTAGGGTAGATATTCAGATGAAGTTTTTCACACAGAGGGTGGTGACGCACAGGAACAGGTTTTGCAGAGTGGTTATGGATGCCCCATCCCTGGAAGCATTGAAGGCTGGTCTGGTTGTGGCTCTGGGCAGCCTGGTCTGGTGGTTGGCAACCCTCGCCACAGCAGGGAGGTTGTAACTAGGTGGTTGTTGAGATCCTTTTCAACCCAGGCCATTCTATGATTCTGTCACATGATGACCGCAGCAACTGGTGCTCTGAATAGTGATTGATATTTATAAAGCACTTTAGTGATGTATGTTGATCCTAATTGATGACCCTATTTCAACATGAACATGCAAATGTACCTAGATAGCATCTTGTATTTTTACACCTAGTTAAAAGATGAATCCTTTCTTTCTGTGCTCTATGAACTTGCTTTCATCAGCCAACTCCGTAATACATAGCTGTCAGTTGCAAGCTGTGTTGAGATTCCACTAGTCATTTCATTTTCATCTGGACAAGAATGTTTTTAATATCGCCTGTGATTTTCTTCTAGATAACACACAGTACAATTCTATTACATGCATATCATAATTTCTGTATGGTTTTTTTGTTGTTGTTGTTCAGTAAAGCTTTTTTTTATTTGACGAAAATGTGCTCTTACTTTCTTTTCCCTTTATCTCTCCAGTGCATAGTTTGGGACTGGGATTCTAATGGAAAGCATGACTTCATTGGAGAATTTAGCTCAACTTTCAAGGAAATGCGAGGGGCTATGGAAGGGAGACAGGTAGGTAGAAACCACTCAAGCACTGTTAGTATATAAGCTTTGAGGATCAGTGTTCCTGATGCATTTCTGTACTGCTGCAAATGACAATGCCTCATTATTATTTTTTTTTTTTCTTGGAAGTGAATTGGTTCTGTTTATCTCCTGTATGTTTTGCTCTTATTACATGTTAATCCAAAAATGCAGAAAGTGGCCTATCTTGTAGCTCTGTTTCTGAAATAATGAGACTATTTTTCAAGTTCATATTTCACAGGTATTTCTGCAAATATTTGTTCGAGCCTAGCACATGGTTTCTATTGGGTGCTTTGCTGTTATGGTGAAGCATACACACTAGGTTACTCAAAGAATTCCCCAGCTGGCCTATAGTCCTTTATTGGATTAGGGTCATTCTCCATTTTTCTCCATTTTTCTTTATTTCTCACGTGCTGCATGATTGCTACCAGCTCTAACTTGAATCTATCAGGATGAACCTAATTGATTTCTTAAATGTCTCATAAATTACAGTCCTAAGAGAAAATAAATTTGTTTGCTTATTAATAATTTCCCTTCTTTATGTCAGCCTGATCTTTTAAAATTGAAGTTGATGGTAATTATTGAATATGATAAATGATTTGGCATATGTAATTCCAGAAATTGTTATTTCTTATTATTGCTTAACCCTGATAAATTTTCTGTGGGAGAATTAAAAATGTTGTCTTTCTAATCTACTCATATTTGCAGTCACTGCTTTATGGTAATCTCAAAACGAAACAGAAATGTCTAATAAACTTTGTCTGGGCTTTACATTAGATAGCAAAGGGTCAGAAAGTGTTTAGTAGGTGTTGCAGTCAGGCTGTTCCTTAGGCCAAGAAATGCTAGTTGTTCTAGTTGTCTTCTGTTGATGTTTGGAAGTTTAGCGTGTGTTGCTTATGTGTGCAAAATAACACTGATACATGTATCAGTCATATATTAACCTATTATAAATAAGTTAATATAAACTTAACTATTTCCAGAGAGAATAACATTAACAACAATAGTGTTATGATAGCACCTTAATTTTTTATGCAAATGGCTGTGGATGGAAAATAAACAGTGTGGAAGTGGTAAAATGTGCATATTTCCAATGTAAACATTTTCAAAACAGCACTGCAGTCCAAATGGGCGGCTTGATGGCTAAGACAAGAGATTTTCCATCCAGAGCACCAGGAATGTCTATGAAAGGTGATCTATACATTTTTTATTCTGATGTGGAAGCAATGGACTCTTTTCTTAGCAAAAAGGATGGTTACTCAGGCAGAAGCATGAAAAGTTAGTATAGTCATTGGTCAGTTCTTATTCTAATCTATATATGTTCACAGAGTAGTATTAGAGAGTAGTCCAGGAATACTTTAATGTAGCACAGTGCTGTTAAGTGCCTGAATCTTTGCATTGCTAAGAGCCTGCCATTTGTCATTTTACAGGCTGCCTTTCACTTCTAACATTACATCTGCTTTTTGTGGCAGATGCACACAATTTCTCCTCCATAGTCCTAAGCTGTTCCAACATTATTTCTCTCTTGATGCTCTTATTCTGTGTTTCTTGTGCAGTTATTCTATGGGCTTGTACCTGCAAAACCTGATACTGTTATAAATGGTTCTCATGGGACACAGTTGTCACTAGCGTGAAACTCAGACCTTCTGCCCGCATCTCTTCTTTAACCCTTGTTTCGTAGTCTATTGTAGAAGAAAACAAGATTTAGTGGATAAGGTAGTAGGTTATAGCCATTTAAAAAGAGTTATAACATAATAGATAAGACCATATATTATATATTTTATATATATTTTTTATTATATATTATATAAAAATGCTCCAAAGAATATACATACATGTCTCAGATGGTTCTGGGTACCTGATGAACATGAGCTTCATTCAGCACTACTGTCACAGTAGTCAAGAACAAGCAGTAGATGGTCTAAGCAGGTCCTGATGAAAACAGTGTAGTTATTTTGGAGAAGGTATTGTGAATCATTTGTTGTATCAGAAAAGTACTTTGTTTAGTAGACCATGTCACTTGTCTTCCTAACTGGCCAATGGAGAGCAATTACCATACTTCTTTTCTTTTTTTCCCCCTTTCCTTCTGTCTCTCCTTCCCTCTTTCTCTCTCCTTTTTTTTCTATTATTCAGAAGTAACTACTGTTGCTAAAGGTAGTATATGCTATTGGTTGTGGGCCCCATAAATGCATGTCTTTATCTCAGCATCCTTTGTGCAGCATGACATAACATGATTTACATTTGTCATTTTTCTCTTCAATTTTTTTTCTCTCCGAAGAAAAAACTTATACAGCAGAGTATTTACTTTGAATAAAGAGGGTTTAGTGAACCTTGGTGGCAATTTACATTCAGCTGGATGTTGTTAAGTATTTCTAATAACGACAGCCACATCAAAGAAATGTAATTATATGTGGGCGAGGAGATGAGTAGGTTAGACAGTCTTTCTTAGAAGAGATTTTAGAAGAGATTTTTTCATAGACTCTGAAATAGACAGTTCTAAGTCTTCTGTTCAGCATCTCCTACCATTCCAAAATTGATCAGTTACTCCTTCACAAACTTGGTATGAGAAAACACAGGAAGAAGTCTGTTACTTTTTGTGACAGTATTTTTTAAGTGAAATACTTAAAGTTTATTGTATGCCTAGGTTTATTTCCAAATATATGTACTATAGTTTTGTGTTTTTTTTTAAATGTGTGTGTACTGGCAGTTTTATTATATTAATTTGCCAAACATTGTAAAACAAGGCAAGAAAAGCTTTATAAAAATTAAAAGGCTGTTAAAGCTGTTCATAATTTAAAGGAAAAATCATCTGTGAATGATAAAACCATAGGGATTTGGGGAAAAAAAGTTGCAGAAAAAAAAAACCACCTGGATCCTCATGCAGTACAGGAGTTACATAAGTGAAAAATCTGTTCCTGTATTACAAATAAAAAGGATGCATGTATGTATGCACGCACACAGAAGGGGAAGGGAAGAAAGAAATCCTGCTGTGCTTACCATCTCTTCTTCAATTCCACAGAGATGATTGGAGGGGTGGAGCACCTCTCCTATGAAGAAAAGAAGAGGGAGCTGGGGTGGTTTTAGCTTGGAAAAGACTCTGAGGAGATCTCACTGTGGCTCCTCCAGTACTTCAGGAGAGCTTTTAAAGAGGAGGGAGACTGACTGTTACACGATCTGATAGTGATAAGACAAG